CACATGCTAGAGGAAAATAAAATACTTAGAGAATTTTGCTATAAATCATTTTCAAACTTGCCAGTAAGTATTGTATTGAATCAATGAATGACTCATTTTAAAAATACGTGAAATAACTCAATTCCCATCACTCTGGTTTCTCTGCTATTCTCGCATAATTCTCATACATTGATTTTGAAATCACAGCCAAATTTGTCTCAGGTAACCTGGCATATTATTTTCTTGCACTTTTAAGATATGAATGCTTTTTTCATTAGGGAAAATCCTTTCATATTTCAACATATTTTTCTAGTATGTGGCTTCCATTTACCCTTGTAATTATTATTCTTATTGATAGGAATAAAGGACCACAACTCAGCAAAAAGTTTTTATTTACTTTAACTATTAGCACAGTGGTTCTTAAAATATGGTACCCTGATTAGAAACATCAGCATTACCAGGGAATTCATTAGAAATGCAAATTCTCAGGCCCCACCACAGACTTACTGAATTAGAAACTCTGGAGGTGGGCTGAGGTACATCATCTATATGTAAAAAGCCCCCTCCAGGTAATTTTGATGTGTGTTATAGTTTGTAGATGTACACTATTGTATTAGAATTTTACTTAGGCAAAAATGTCTAATGTTATTATAATGTTTAAAGGAGAAATGTGATAATTGTATTTCTTAGTAATTTGTTGTAATTACTCTTTTTATAATATATTTGGGGGAACAAAATAAATTGGAAAAAGAGGGTAGTGAAGAAACAAACTAATGACAGTATGATGCATCACATCAAATAATCAACACACAGTGTGTATAAGAATTGTTCTCAGCACTTTGATGAGCTCTGAAGGTGACAGGAAACAAGCCTAACTTATAGGCTCTGCTTCCTATCTCAAAGGAATGAACATGCTGTTAATAAACTTTTCATCTTGAACAAGAAAAGTACATCACACAAGCAGTGGACATTATTGTATGATGTGCTATGCTTTGTGATTTAGACTGTTAAATGCTTTATGGATTAAAGGAGATAGACCCTAAAGGAATAATGATTAAGTCCTAAAATGTAACTAGAACTGTACTTTATAGAGGGAATCAAACAGAACACTTCAATTTAGGAGAAATGGTAAGTACAGAACCTTGGCAAGAGAAAGAAACATCTAGATAACATTGTTGAAGAAACCTCACAGTGGATTATTGTGCTGATTGATGTAGGAAGGGGGCTAAAAAAAATAAGGTAGGGCTATTGACCTTACATCTATAATTGAGAGAAGGAATCTATGAATGGTTTTATGGACTTCTATTAGACCTCCTACAATTGTCCAGGAAAAAAAAATTGCATATTTATTTGTGTGTGTGCATGTGTTTGTATGTGTGTAAAATGTTAGTTTCTGGAGAAAAGTTTCCTAGCATTTAGTCTGAAAGACGTCACTCTTCCAAAAATATACAAACCAGTGGTATAAAGCTTGAGAACTTAAAGCTTTTATAACTTAAAGGTTATACATTTTGGGGATCTTAAAAGACAAGTTACAGGAACTTAACAACTGAATATATTTAGGCACTAGGGAAAAAATGTAGTTCTCTGACAGTGAAATTTTATTTGATGACAAATTAATTAATTAATTGATTAATAATAGACCAACTAGGAGAGAATTTAATTATTTAGTTAACTAAATTTCAAGTCTTTAACAAGGCCTATCAACAAGTATGAAGACCCTTGTAACCAACCTCTTAAAAGCTCCCTTTACATGTTTGTTTCTAAGTGTATGTATAAGGGGGCTCCACATGGGTGTGATGATTCCACAGATAAGGAACCCCATCTTTCCCCAGTCCTTAGAGGCAATGGATGGTGGTTGCATATAAGTGTAGATAGCAGTGCCATAAAGAGAGCCACATATCCCAAATGCCTTTCGCCTACCTTCTGTTGACCGTATTCTCAACACTGTTCGGACAATGAAAGCATATGATATAAGGATGAGTGTCAGGGGTATTAGAAGGAATGGCACACAGAAGAAGAGTTCAGCCTCATTTGCTGTTGTGTCAACACAGGACAACTTTAGCAAAGCAGGGACTTCACAGAAGAAATAATCCACTGGTTTGTGACCACACAGTGGCATCTGAAGGCTCAAGGTGAGCTGCCAAACTGAGTTGCTAAAACCACTAATCCAGGATACTGCTGCCAATTGGAGGCAGAGCCTTTGGTGCATGATGACTGAGTAATGGAGAGGCTGACAAATAGCTACAAATCTATCAAAGGGCATGGCAGCCAGGAAAAGACATTCAGTGGAACCCAAGACCACGAAAATTAAAAGGTGGACTACACAGCCACCATAACTAATTACCTTCCTGGTGCTGCATATGTCTACCAGCATTCGAGGAACTGTACTCATGGTGCAGCAAAGGTCCAAGAGAGATGGATTGGTAAGACAGAAATATGTGGGGGTATGGAGTTTGGGGTCCAGGTGTGCCACAAGAATTATTGCTAGATTGCCAAAGACAGTCAGGATATACAATACCACGAACACCATAAAAAACAGGAACTCTAACCATGATCAATCTGAGAAAACTAACAGGATGAACTCCCACGGGATACTCTCATTTATCTTATTCATGTTGAACAGTTCAACTCATTGTTCTCTGGAAATAAAAAGCCAGCAGTTCAATAAAGAGTTATTGCCTATGTCAGATAGTTATAATCATTTCTCTGATAATTTATATAAATTAATAGACTGATACTATAAATAATATATAAAACACATTGATAAAAATATAACTTTTTTCCCAAGTATTTCAAGTGAGTTTCTATATTTGTAGCACTATATTAGCAAAGTAAACTTCAAGCAGTTGAAAGTAGAACATCAGTTTCAATGTTTACAGAATTCATCTCTAGATCTGTTGTGTAAACACGCTGTTCTCACTTCTCTCTGTCTAGATATAGCTCCTCTTAGGTAGATGTAGACACAGTTCTGCCATTTGATATTTGTCCTCAGTGTCAATGAGATTTCCTGATTATGTGAATCAGTTAAATTGTTTAAATTCTACATCCTCATTGAGAATATATATGTATCAACAATTATCAGACATATTTGAAAGAGACATACCCTTTTTCTGAGAGTACTCATAGAAGTTGTATAGAATCATTTAATACCATGGAATTTGCAGTCTGACAGGCCTGGGGTCTTATCCCTACCTTCCCAGATTAGTTACCTTGCTCTGGGAATATTTCTTATACTCTAATCTTCATGCTCCTTGTTTATAAAATGAAGACAATGGTATTTTTTTAAGTTGTCTTGCTGTGAACTATAAGTGATTTATTAAACGCACACTTAGCCTCAGGCCTTTAGAATTTCAGGGCAGTGGGATGAAAAGAACTACAGAGACTCTGAGAGGCTCAGAGAGTAATTACTTATGATTTTTAGAACTTTACATTTCAGAGACTTACCAGTAGAAAAGAAAGCAGGCAGTGGTGGCTCAGTGGTAGACCTGTTGTCTTCCATGGGGGAGACCCAGCTTCAATTCCTGGCCAATGCAACTCATGTGTAGCCACCATCTGTCCAACAGAGGAGGATTGCATGTTGCTATGATGCTGAACAGGCTTCAGGACAACTTCCAGATTAAGAAAGCCTAGGAAGAAAGGCCTAGTGATCTACTTTTGAAAAATGATCTGATCCCAAACCAATCACAGGGATGGCACAGGACTGGTCAGATTTTCATTCTGTTGTGCATGGATTGTGGAAAAATCCAGTAACAGCTAACAACAAAAAACAATGAAAACTGGCTCTACAAGTCAAAAACTTATTTTTCCATTCCCTCCATAATCTCCAAACCTCAACAACAGGGATCGCAATAACCATCTGATGTGAAGTATACATGTGATCTTTAATGTAAATTGCATGGCATAGTGACAAGCACAGAGAAAACAGCCATGCACTCAAACTATGACAGTGATGCAGAGACTTTGAGATACTTTGGGCAGAAGCAACTCAGAGTCCTAAATTTCCTGGAAATACTAATACAAATCAACTTCATCAGCTAAAAATGTATTCATCGCAACCAAATCCTACCATGACATGAAATTTTTTAATTATTTTATCAATATTAGAATACAAATTTTTCTTTATCAGTCATACTCATCAAAATGTAAACAACGTGTGCTTTATTCTTAATCTAATTTTTGTAGAGCTGTTGCTGTTGTTGTTGTTATGTGCCATCGAGTCGGACCCACCTCATAGTGACCCCTCCTTGGTTTCCAAGGCAGTATCACTACAGAAGTAGATTGCCCAACCTTCCTTCCAAGGAGTGGCTGGTGGGTTTAAATGGCCCCTTAAGCTCAACTGATAAGAAATTTGAAGTATACAGTCATGTATACAGATGTGAAATGATGTTCAAATGTATCTTTAAGTGAAAAAAAAAGTTGTTGAACATTAGTATAGCATGATCCCATCAGCTAAAGGAAGAGGATGTGATCATATCACATTATTTTATATCTATTTATACATATGAATGCTTACCTATAAATATAAAGTTATCTAGAAAGAATCAGAAGAAAGCTTTACCCTGAAATGGAGACAGAAAAACAAAAAAGTAGAATTTGCTTTAATATTTTTGTTCTAATTGTTTGATAACCAGGTATTAATTTTATAATAATTTTTTAAACATCTACTCACCAACTCACTTTCTGTATTTTATTCTAAGACTAGGAGCCCTGATGGCTCAGTGGTGAAACACTTGGCTGAAAATACAAAGATCAGCCGTTAGTACCCACCAGCTACTCCACTGGAGAAAGATGTGACAGTCAGCTACCATAAGGATTACAGCCTTGGAACCCCTACAGGGCAGTTCTACTCTGTCCTATAGGGTTGCTATGAGTCTGCATTGACTGAACAGCAAACATGGACACCCACGCCTACCAACTCACTTTCTGTATTTCACTGTTGGACTAGCATTGTTTTACTTTAACTTTGATCCCCAAAAGGTACAAATCTTTAGAACGAATTTAATTTTTTTAACTCTTAGTACTTATTTAAAATTTCTTTGAGGAAAGGCTTTGCAAGGATCTTTTCTAAATGATGGAATCTAGGAGCATGTTTTGACCTTACTGATGAAAGAATGTTGTTGAGGAATTTGGCAAAACAGGATAAATGGCTTCACCAAAGATCGATATTACATACTTCACAATTTCCTTGAGATTTGTACAGATCCCCTCAAGTCTATGTAATTGGAATGGTCCAATTTACCCACACTCACCTGTCAGTTTGTCATGCTGTGGTGGCCTGCTTGTTGCTATGATCTGGAAGCAATGGCCCCGATATTTTAAATACCAGCAGCATCACCCATGGTGGACAGCTTTCAGCAGAACTTCCAGAGTAAGACAGACTAGGAAGAAGGACATGGCAGTCCTCTTCTGAAAAACTTGGCCACCTTATGAATAGCAGTGTCAGTTTACCCAGGACTGTCTAATTTATTCCTGCTGTCCTGACACAGTCAATAACAGAGCCATTCATTCTCAGAAGTGCTCCTGTTTCAATGCTAAGGTATAAGGTCACCAGAGTATAATATTGAAAAGTGAAATAATCTTAATGCTACTGTTCAAAAAAAAAAACCCACTGCCACCAAGTAAGATCCGACTCATAGCTACAATTGCAAACAATAGGCAAAGTGCAATTGCAAACAATGGGCAAGCGTCCTTGGTTTTCCAAAGCTACAGAAGTAGATTGCCCAACCTTCCTTCCGAGGAGCGGCTGGTGGGTTCGTATTATCACTGAGGACTTTGTGTGTATTTTCTCTTCTTTCCTGGACCAATGGCCTTTCCTGAGGAGCACTTGATTTTGTTTTTCTCCTCTAGAATTTTCAGGTCCTTTCTGTTGAAGTTACAGGAGAAGGATGGAATCAATTAACTCCTTTGCAGTCAATTGACCCCTTCACCCTGAAATGCAGTGCTTATAAAAGTAATGAAGTGTCATATATGATATTTCTTCATGTTCTGTAGTCAATGAGGGTAACAGGATGTCAAAAAGAATATTTATCATTCTGGCAGGAAGTACTGGAGCAGAGTGAGAATAATGGGGCCAGAAGGAATGTTGGGAAGGAAACAGGACATTTCAGAGCACCAACTTCTCATTTTCTGCTTTAGTCACCTTTTGTGCACATTTGTTCATTTTCCAAACACATAGTAACCTCAAGTATTTACCCACTCTTGAAAGTATATCTTAAGATTGAACAGTTGTGGTATCATTTTGAATTTTAGGAGTTTTAAGTAATTTGAATTTTGGGTTTTATCCTTACTATTAGGAATGAAATGTTTGTTAATAACTTAAAAAAAAATAAACCCTAGGAAGTCTCCATGTGCACTTCTGAAATTATATCAGATAGGCTATTGATTATATATCACCTTGCCCATTGTTTGCAATTGTACCTAATACTTCAAACACTATAGAGCAGAACCCTATACTTTTACCAGCATCTTGACATGATAAGCTCATTTTCAGTATCAAGTATTCAATTAGACAGCAAAACAAAACATTTGAATTATGTAACATACCAAGAAAACTAAAAAGGGAGCATAGCAACTGGGTTACAATGGAAGTTAATGGAAGAAAAGTATTTTAGAAACTGCTGACGGGATTTTACAAATTTTATCTGTCATTATCTTAGAATATTTTAACCCATAGTTTGAACACATCATCTCATTTTTACCTGTATATTGGTTGATCTTGTAGATTGTCTCATCCCATATCTGAGCTTGAATATTAAAAAAGATGAGATTCAACAAAACCTTGAAAGTTCTTTTTAAGCTACACTGCAGAAAGAGCATGGAGATAAGAGAAGTAACAAGAGTTTTAGTTCCTAATCTGCCAGTAATTGATGTGTAATTGGGCAAGTTAGTTGATAGTTTTGGGTGTCAATTTGATCTTCTGCAACATTATCGGTTTTATTTCTTTCTTTCTTTTTTATTGAGGTAAATATATAGGTAACAAAACATTTGCCATGTCTACATTCTTCACATGTGCAGTTCAGTGTGATTAACTATGCATTCATCATGTTCAACCATCATCAGTAACCCTTCCTGAATTTTTCTATCACCTTTAACAGAAATTCAGTGTTTACTAAGCATTGTGTCTTCCTCTTTTCCTCCCTCTCACTTGGCCCTGGTAATCACTAATAAACTTTCATCTCTATACACTTGTCTACTCTAGTTATACATTATAGATTTCTTATTTTCTTTCATGATGAAAATCATTTACTTTCATGTTTTCTCAAATTAGCTCACGTCCCTAAGAATGTATGTAAAGTTTCCAAATACCATACAAAACTGCCACCTTCATGCTAGACCACAAGAATAAATAAGAACAGTCAATATTTCCACTCAGCTAATACATTGCAGTTTGCCTTAGCAGTGCAGGAAAGTTTGTCCCCAAAAATTTTGAGTTTATTAAAGACTAATTTGGTAGGCAGAAACCTGAAGTTAAGTGCTTAGAGACATTAAGTGGCTTTTCCAATGTCTTAGAATTAATAAAGAAGCAGACTAAAGATATGAACATAAGACTCGTCTATTTTCAAGTTCATATTTATCAAAGAAATTACAAATATACTCAGAATAACATTGTATATT